CCCCCTCCTCCTCGGGGTCCGTCCGCGAGGGCGCTGGAGACGCGGCCCCTGCCCGGGGCACGGGCCGGGCCGGGCCGGGCCAGGAGGACGCGGCACCCCGGGACAGCGCGTCCTTGGGGTTAGAGCACAGCGAGGGGACACTGGGTCTGGGGGCACCCAGACTGCCTGCCCGTCGTCCCCGTTCCCCCCCATCCTGCACTGTGGCCACGGGGCCTGAAACCACTTGACGCAGGGGACAGCGTGGGGGGTCCAGCTCCGCAGTGCGGGGGTCCGAGAGGGGTGGCGTTGGGAGTGCAGGGGGTTCCCCCAGTTCTGCGCTGCTTTGTGCTGGGAGCCCCCCCCAGCCTGCTGCTGCTCCCCTTTTCACCCGTCAGTGTCAGCTCGTGACCCCCAAGAAGCTGCTGTGGGGCCAGGAGGTGTGCACCAGGCTTGGCTTGACCAGGAGGAAGGCAAGAGGCGGCCCTCGAGCAGTGCTGTAGGGCAGACGGGGCCAAATGCAGCAATGCTTCTGGCCTCAGCATCTAGGGACTGAATGGCCAAGATGTGAACCCTTGTGGTCCCAGCTGACCTGGGCACGGAGCACGGCAGGGGCGTCTGGGAAGCCGGGCTACAGCTCGGGTCTGGTACAAGGCAGGGCTCTGGGTGCTGGGTCTCTGGGGCCCTCCAGAGCCTGGTGGAGCCATTGGGAGCCCCAAGCGGGGGGGCAGGCAGCTGCCAAAAGAAACGAGGTCGTGGCAACAGCTAGCTGCGCTCCTGTGCTCTTGGGGTGCTGCGAAGCTGCGGGGTGGGGAGGGGCCATGCTTTTCTCCCAGGGGCTTGTTGGTTCATAGAGCCCTGGTTCCCTCCTCCCTGCTGCCTGCGCCCCTGGTCAGCACCAGCCAGACCTCACTGGCTTGTGTGTGTCCATGATCACAGCTCCTTTTACAGCTTCTTAAAACCAGGCAGGTCCCTGCGTCTATCTGCACCCCCTGCGCCCTGCCCTGCAGGAACCCTGCCCTGCTCTCCAGCATACCTGGTGGCACCTGTCATGGGCCTTGGTGCCCTACCAGGGCTGTCTCGGTGCCATAGCCTGTATTCTTCAGCTGAGGCTCCAGCCCCTGGGCATTGCAGTGTGAGTGGGCTGCAAGGTGTCTCTGTGCTGCAGGGTTGTGGCTGGGTGTGTGCTCCCAGGGGACTCTGAAAGCTGATCCCAGTTGTCGTCGTGGTGTACTATCGTCGTGTCCCGTTCCCCCCCCCCCAAACACACATGCACCCACTCTCTTTTGTCTGAAACAGCCTAGACAGGGGTGACCAGGCTGGTAGGTTGCAACCGGGTACCAATGGAGGGAGGGTCCATAGGTGCCCAACTGGCCATGTACCTGTCATCAAGGCTGCCTTGTCTCGCAGTAGGTGTGTGCTCCCCGTGGCGAATGGATGCTGGCTTTGTTCCATCCGGGTCGTGGGTTTCTGGTTGGAATAGTTCCTCTTTATCATCCGTCGTGTCGTGTGTGTCGTTGTCGTCCATCATCTCCCCCCCACCCCCCGGTGGATCTGCGCGACAGCTCTGTCCTCGTTTTTCGGTGGCTCCCAACTTTGTGCTCCCCATGAAGAGACAGCTGCCTCCCCTTTCCTGTCTCTCACCAGAGGCAGTGTCCAGCCAACCCCAATGCAGCCTGCCTAGTTGGAGGAGCCCAAGCTGGCTTTCACCCTCCCTGCCTTGTCCCCTGCAAAGTCAGGAAGTGGAGACAGTCCTGTCCAGGTCAAGGGCTTTTGCTTCATTCCCACTCCAGAAGCACCTGTGAAAACCGCCTTGCATTTTAGGTCCAGCTGGGCCACTTGTGCCCCCATCAGGCTGTGGCTGGCAGGATCCCACCAAGTGCCGGGGCATAGACTAGGGCAGTGACATTGTGGGCTGAGCCAGCTGAGGGGCCAGATGAGCTGCAGGACTCAGGGATGTGCTCTGGTCCTAGAGGGGAACTTGGGGTCGTGGCTGCGGTCATCCCTGCAGTGGGAAAAGGCTGATGAGAGGTGGGAGACGCAGCCCAGTTCCCAGGAGTTTGAGGTCTCCACTAGCTGCATTGCTTTCAGTGCATTTATCTCCAGAGATAGAGAGCTGGTGCTGGGACAGACCAGTGCCTGGGACAGGGCCTCCTCCTGCCCCCCTTCTGCTGTGCAGGGAGACGACTCTGGCCTGAGTGACCCACATGGGCAGCACGTTCCCTTCCAAGGCTGCAGCTCTGGGGAGCAGGCTGGGTGATGCCAGGACCCTCATGCCTGCCAGTCTGGGTGCTGGGACACAGCTCATGTGCTGCCCAGGCCTCTGCTTCCCAGGCAGCTGCAGCCTGGTATGGAGGCGTTTCCGTTCTGGCAATGTAGAGGAGCCCCATTGGTCTGGAGGGGATTCCTGGCTGGGGGAACCCCTCCATGGGGGTGTCCTGGCTATGGGCCAGTCAGGAAATCTCCAGGCAAGGAGTCCCAGCTTCCCCCCCATTGCCTAGGGGATACAGCACTGAAGCAAACTCTTCCCACAGCCCAGGGAGGAGTTGGACCTGGGGAAATCCTGCCCTGGGAGGTCCAGTCCCCTTCTTGCCCAGGCCAGGCCGTCAGGGCATCTGCCAGCCCTGGTACCCAAGGTAGCAGGAAGAGGCGGCTTGTGTCAGTTGAGGAAGGAGGGGTCTGGAAGCTGCCAGTTCCCAGCCCTGGTCAAGCACAGCATGGGAGCTAGGTCTGCATCCAGTTGACAGTAACGTGGCCTGGCTGTCCGGGGCTAGGGGTCACCACCCTGGGGCCAGGGTCCCATGTCCCTATGAGACAACTGGGAGTCACTTCAAGGACATCCAGAGTTCGGGCAGGATCAGTAGAGGCATTAGCCCCTGGTATCAGTGTGCTCTGGGATGGGGGAGGCCGGAAATGCCATTGCTCAGGCTGCCCTCCTGTCCCTCAAGGCCTCCAGCCCCTCTCCCGGGGCAGTGGGGTAAGGTAGGCAGGGACTGCCCATTGCCTGCATCCACCAGGGCTGGGAGAAAGAGCCAGAACGGGTGCCTGGGAGCCAGGAAATAGGGCAGAGAGGAGCTGGAAGTCCTGCAGAGAGGCTGTGGGGGCTGGCACAGGCTTAGTTCCTGTCCTGTACCAGCCCCACAGTCAGGAGAGACTCAAGGACAGGTTGGGATCTGGTCTTGAGGACCCACAGGCCTGCCCAGAGCAGGGAGTCAGGTTGGGACCCCCTGTCCAGCCCTCCCACCCCCTGCTCCTCTTATGGCTGTTTGGGCAGCAGCTGGTGTTAGCCAGATGTTCCCCCCCCACCCCGAGACCAGCCTGTGCCTCTTCTCGGGTCCTGGGGCTGGGGCAGCCACGCCTGGCTGGCAAACGCTGGGAGCACAGGGAACAATCAAAGGAGGAGAATCTCTCCTTCCTTCCCTCCCCGCAGCAGCGCTGGGCAGGGAAAGCCTTTGTGTGTTGGGGAGGAGGGGGCGGTATATGTAGGAGGGGAACCTGGAGCCCCCTTCTTCCACCCGCGGGACTGGGCCGGCACGGCCCTCTGGTGAATGATTCGCTGCCTTTGAGTGCAGAGCTGGCCCCGGGCGGGTCACATCTGTCGGCCCCATTCTCCGCGCACAAAGGCTCGGAGGCCCCAGCGCCGGGCTGATTAACGCGGGCAGGCTGCTTGCATTGAGCAGGAGCCCACTGAAGAGAGCGGGGCACTTTCCTGCCTGCCTAAAAAACCCTTCCCCCCTGCTGGGATCACCCCTGCTCTTCCAGGCCCCTCCAACCCTGCAGAGGGGGGCGAGGCTATGTGAAATCCCCCCTCTCTGTGGGCTCTGACCAAGCTGGAAACCCATGGGCTTTGCCCAGCCTGGTCTGGGGAACAGCGGGGAATTCTAGTTAGAGCTGGCTGCTCTCATTTCCCCTGGATGAGCCCCCGGGCTCACCTTGAAATCAGGGCAGCGCTGCCTAGGGGACGGGCCTGCAGGGCATTGCTGATGGAAGACGAACAGCAGGGGTCACAGACCACAATGGAGCCTCCTTGCTGTGGCTTCCAGGTATCCCAGGGACATGAGTGCTGCTGGGCTGGCACCCTCCCTGCTGGTGTGTCCCATGCAGGCCCCACATCTCCCAGACAGTGGCATGGGCAGGCGGGCAGGAAACGCCCTTTTAGGTGGGGCAGGGGAGGAGGGTGGAGCTGCCAGCAGGGGCAGGGGAGGAACCAGTTGAACCAGGGCATCTGCTTTGATCCTGGGAAGAGAACCCAGGAGTCCCAGCTCCTAGCTGGAGCCTCCCTCCCTGGCCTGGGTTCCTGTGAGCTGGAACCTGAGCCCCGCGGGGCAGATTGTCTTACAGCAGCTGGGAGCCTGGGCTGGGAGGGTGAGATGCCTCCAGTGCTCACAGGGGATGGGGTGGGCTCTTCATTACCTGCTAACACTTTCCTGGCTGCTGTCCTGCAGGCGCTGGTCCAGCGCACTCCCCACCCGGAGCCAGGCCTGGCCATTGCCTTGGGCACTGGCCAGGCCCAGGCTCAAGTCCCTGCACTGCCTCCATCTCCCCACATGACCCAGGGCACATCGCATATACTTGCCAGCCCTCTGCCTCTGTTGGTGGGGGGTAACAGCCCTGTCTTGCTACTGTAGGAGGTGGGCAGGGAAGTGGTTAAAGTCTGCTGGGGCATGGGGGGAGGGGGCAGATGCTACACTGACCTGGTGAGGGGAAGTTGTGACTAGGCCACAGGAGGTACCACGCTGGCATCTTCCCCCGGCCTGTATCTGCATGGATCAGCTGCAGTGCAGCCAGGTTTATTGCTGGGTGCTTACCTCAGTGCTTCACTCTCCCCCTTCTCGGCCTCCCAACTGAGGCTGGTCCAGGTCACTCATACTGCGGGGCAGGCCGAGGCCTGGGACCAGCCCAGTTCCACTGCTCTGCAGGGACCGGGACCCCTAAACAGTGAAGCCCCGGGAACCTGGAGACCCTGGGAATAGGGCAGGGGTTGTTCTCCAGGATAACAGTGGAGGAGCCCAGGTGCCATTCAGCACTTGATGGGGAGGGGAATGGGGACAGTGGGGCCCCCAGGGGGCAGCTGAGGGTTCCCCCTTTCTCCCTGACCTTATGTCCCCTCTTGTGTGTCCCATTCCCTGCCCCCGGCCTCCCCCAGATGAGGACGTGTGCGTGTTCAAGTGCGCCGTGTCCCGCGAGACAGAGTGCAGCCGCGTGGGCAAGCAGTCCTTCATCATCACCCTTGGCTGCAACAGTGTCCTCATCCAGTTCGCCACCCCCACCGGTATGTGCCTTTCACCCCCTCCCCCCAACCCTTGAGCCCCTGACCTGGGGTCTGTGTCCCCATCTCAGTCCCTGCCCCACTGACACCCCAGGTCTGCCTCCAGATTTCTGCTCCTTCTACAACATCCTGAAGAACTGTCGGGGCCACAACACAGAGCGCTCCGTATTCAGTGAGCGGACAGAGGAGTCGTCGGCGGTGCAGTACTTCCAGGTGGGCCAGGACAGGTCGGGTTGGGGTGACCAGGTATTTGAGGGAGCGGGAACTTGGCACCCCCCCCCAGGTCCTGGGAGGGTGTGGGCCAAGAGGCCTGCGTCCCCACACCAGGGTTTGCCTGAGAGACCCCCCTGCTGGTTGCTGCCCCCACCTTGTTTCTGCTGTGTGCGCCAGGGAGGTTTTAAGCCTCCCTCAGAGGCATCAGGTGTTGGCTGCAGCCCAGGCTGGGGTGGTGACTGGGCTGTGCTAATGCTCCTGCTGGGGGACTCAAACTTGGAGGGTCCTGGCTAGAGGGTCTTGCCCCTCTGCTCAGGGTCAGACTGACGCTGCACTGGGGGTCAGGAAGGAATCTTTCCCCCTTGGTCAGACTGGTGCAGACTGGGTGGTTTTTGCCTTCCTCTGTAGCGGGGGCACGGCCTCTACCTAGGATCTCTTGAGCATCTATTAATAACCTTTCACAGCAGCAAGACGTTGACAGCTGTAGTCCCCTTGCTTTCTCTGGGGCAGGTTGGGGTGTGCTGTCTAGTGCTGTGTCAGGGCTGACGGTAATTCCAGGAAAAGTTCAGATGCTGGATCTGTTTGGGCTGGTTTGGATGGGGCTGATCCTGCCTCAGGCAGGGGTTGGACTAGATGTGAGCTCCAGAGGTCCCTGCCAGCCACGTCCCTAGAAAAGGGACCTTGCCAGGGTGGAGCTTGGCATGACCTGGGTTGTGGGGCACCTCCATTACCCCTCAACCTGTCCTTGCCTGGAGTCTGACTGCCCCCCCCCTCCCCGTGTCCCTCAGTTCTACGGCTATCTGTCCCAGCAGCAGAACATGATGCAGGATTACGTGCGGACGGGCACGTACCAGCGTGCCATCCTGCAGAACCACAGTGACTTCAAGGACAAGGTAAGCTGGGCCGGGTGGCATCCAGGTCTTGCCAGGAGCCTTCAGCTGTGGGAGGAGAAGGGACAGTTCTGTGCAGCCTGTCTAGGCAGTGCCTTGGCCGCCCCCCCCCCCGCGCCCTCTTGGGGCTCAGAGTCCGTGTGCCCCCCATCTCTGCTGTTGGGACCTCATGAGAGTGTGACCTGCTCTGGACTTTGAGGTCGGCATTGGGTGCTGGGTCATCCTATTAGCCCCTGCCATGGCATCAGTGTGTGTGTATCTGTGTCCCAATACCAGGATTCCCTCTGACATGGATCAAAACAAGACCTGTGACTGGAGCTGGGCACACCCCAGCCCTCTGCCTACTCCTGTGACCACAAGGGGCCCCATCGCTTCTATCCCAAGCTGCCCATTTGGGTCCAGCTCCCAGCTCCAGTTTTTGAGTGGCCCCAGACACATCTCTCCCGTTTGCTTGTCACTCCCTGCCCCCCCCACTTCTCACAGGCTTGCTTGCACCAGGATGTCTCCTGCCAAGCGGCTGCTCTTGAAGCCTCCTCAATTAGGTCGCGCAGGGTGGGGGGCTGGCGCCATGACGGCAGGCTCTAATTAGGCCTTGGCACAGAGCCGGCGCCTGTGTTCCAGTCCCCACTTCCCACCCCGGCCATGCCGCCTGCCCCCAGTGGATGCCTGCTAGGAAGTATTGAGTTCATCAGGTCTCAGCCAGCCACATGGGGAGGAAGGAGGCGGAGACTCTGGCCCAACCTGCCCCCCATCCTTCTCCCTCCTTTGTGCGAGGATATCTTTCATGGCCATGATTTCTGGGTACCCAGCATTTGGCATCTGGGTGTCCTGGCTCCCCTGCTGTCCACTGTGAGACGCCCCCCCCAACCTCTCCCTCAAAGACGGGGTGGAAACCAGGTTTCCAGACATCCTCAGCCCAATCTCCCTCCCCTGTTCTTGCTGGGCTAGCTGGGTATAGGATTCCCCCAAGCAACTGGTTGAGGACATGGACCACCGTGTCCCCGCTGCCATACTGAGTAGAGCTCCTTGGCCCCTGACACTGCCTTCTCTCCTTCCCCAACCCCTACAGATTGTGCTGGATGTGGGCTGTGGCTCCGGCATCTTGTCTTTCTTTGCTGCTCAGGCCGGGGCCAGGAAGATCTATGCCGTGGAGGCCAGCACAATGGCCCAGCACGCCGAGGTGAGCACTGCCTTCGCTGGGTGCCTGGGCTGGGCTGAACTGCAGCCTCTTCCCCCAGCCTAGCTCTGTTCTTGGACCCGCTGCCTCACAACTGCCGG